TAATTTCGTATTTAAGTGTACAGAATATTTTAAGTTTTGCTCGCTACTAAAATACCACAGAAATCTAAACAATATTGTCTTCTTATTTAGATTACTTAGAATATTTAGAAACATGAATGCTTAGTATTTGATAATTAGAGCGACTTTCAATGAGACTTTAAATATTATTTATAATCTATTTTGAATAAAAAAAGTTTCCATTTATTCTATTCTATTTAGACGACTCGATACTACGGTAGCCTTGCTCATATCTGCGGCGCTACGAGTCGAAGGTTTAATTTCTAACAAGGCAAGCTTGTATGACATATAAATAACTCGTACAATCGTTTTAATTCATGAATGTGAAACATTTTCACTGTATAGGAGAAAATCCAAATAAGTTCTAATCGTGTTGTACCACTGATTGACTTTTCTTGGCATAGATTTATACAGTTAAATTATATTAGATTATTATGGACAGTTTCGAAACTCAGTTTTAAGGCACTTTCCTTGTTGCCACAATAAGTATCGGAATCCTCGGCGTCAACACATCGAGTGACGTGCAGTTTCGTAGTCACTTGTAAGAGAAAGCCTAATTGGCCTCTAAAAAGCTTGGCGTGCTCACCTGAGCGGGACGGTATTTCATGCCGGCACACCGCTTGCAACTGTACAAGGCGCAGGTTCGGCCGCACATAGAATACTGTTCCCATCTATGGGCTGGGGCTCCCCAGTGCCAGCTCCTTGCATTTGATCGCATCCAGCGCAGAGCTGTTCGAATCGTCGGCGACCGAGCTCTTTCCGATCGGCTTGACTCACAGGCACTGCGAAGAGATATTGCATCTCTTTACGTGGGCATCCCCCACGCACCGCAAAAAAAGTATCCTGAATCGCGGTTTTTTCCAGTTTCAAATAAAACAGTACACGGTACAGGTAAAGTGTATTGGTACCAATTGATCCTTGATAAATTTGCTACTCAGGAGGGGGAAGGAGATTAAGAAAAGTACTCCATTTATTTTGCCAATTTTTCCATTTCTATAAGTAAATTGCTATCTAAAAAACTATTGCCTGCTTGAACTAGCTGTCATGTCATGTCGCGCGGCTCGGCGCGGGGCATAGGCACAGGTAATGCAGATATATAGACGACAACGAGTGTTGAAAACAATTAACTTTAATTAAAAATAAAGGGGTAAAGTAGGGGTTGAAATTTTTCTCCAAATTTATGTGAGGCACAACTTATTTAAAAAAAGAATTATCAAAAGTAGTTCCCAATCGACGAATAAATATTATTAATATATATAAACTTATAATATTATAATTAACTTACTTACAATAATAAAATATTGTAGGTAAGTTAATTATAATAATATAAGTTTATATAATAATAGTTATATAAAAATAGTAATATAATAAAAGTTTATTTAATAATAAAATATTGTAGGTAAGTTAATTATAATAATATAAGTTTATATATATTAATAATATTTATTCGTCGATTGGGAACTCTTTTGATAATTCTTTTTTTAAATAAATTGTGGCTCACATAAATTTGGAGAAAAATTTCAACCCCTACTTTACCCCTTTATTTTTAATTAAAGTTAATTGTTTTCAACACTCGTTGTCGTCTATATATCTGCATTACCTGTGCCTATGCCCCGCGCCGAGCCGCGCGACATGGCATGACAGCTAGTTCAAGCAGACAACAGTTTTTTTAGATAGCAATATACTTATAGACATGGAAAAATTGGCAAAATAAATGGAGTACTTTTCTTAATCTCCTTCCCCCTCCTGAGTAACAAATTTATCAAAGATCAATTGGTACCAATACACTTTACCTGTACCTTGTACTGTTTTATTTGAAACTGGAAAAAACTACTTTTTTGCGGTGCGTGGGGGGATGCCCACCCGGGAGGGGGAGGGGGAGTGGATAAAATGTAAATTTGCTCTATAACGTACATATCCGAATAGATACCGAAAGTACTCCTTTAATTTTGCCAATATCGCTGAACGGCCGAATCAATAAAATTTTCATAACGCGAAGCGTTATTAGGTATAATGCTCTTCTCTCGACACGTCAAGGTCATGCAATTTTATGGTCTTAAAAAGTCTTTATCATAACCATATTGCACTTATAAGATAATATTACGTAGCCGTATATCAAGAAAACACTAATTAATCCATCTTATATTTTCTAATAAATAATTTTATATTGCGACATTGAAAAAAAACGGTTCGAAGAATAATTTAAGTGGACGCCCGGATGTTGATTTTGTATGGATCACGATAACTTCCGAAAAAACTGACATATAGAAACTGTTTTTTTTTTTATTAACTTCAGAATTACATCAACTGGTGCATTATTTCATATCAATAACTTAGTACGCGTAGTTTGTTAATAAAATTATTTTAAATTGTTATAAGTTTTATTGCTACTAAAAATTTAAAGGCGCTATCATTTTTATTTCATCCCTTGATAGACAAAGGACAAATACAGCCCAATCGATATTAGAGAAACAGTTTTTTTTATTCAAGATAGATTATTAATAATACTTATAAAGAGTGACTTCTTTTAATTTACCACTGGTTCGGAACAAAAAAAACCTCTGTCCTGGGAAGAACCAACAAGAAACCCAACACCAAGAAGAACACCAGGAAAGAAGTGCAAAGGCACTGCTTAAAATGCACACAAACGAAGGAATTTTGAACCGCATGTTACCTGTGACGATAAATGGATTCTGTTTGACAATCACAAGCGCTCAGCTAGTTGGTTGGATCCTGATTATGCAACTAAACAATGCCCTAAGCGAAAACTTACCTTTAGAAAAGTGATGGTTACTGTTTGGTGATCCAGCGCTGGTGTGATTCATCACAGCTTTTGCACATACCAAACGGGATAAGCATTACTGCAGATGTGAACTGTAAAGAACTGAACAGAATGGTGGAGAGGCTCGCACGTCTCCAACCTATGGTCAATCGTTCGCCCCCGCTGCTCCTGCACGACAACGCGCGACCTCATACTGAACAACAGACGGTTTCCAAGAAACAAGAGCTGTGGTTGGAAGCTCTCCGTCATCCACCGTACTCAAGAGACCTTGCGCCTACAGACTTCTACTTTTTCCAAAATTTGGATAACTTTTTGGCGGGAAAACATCAATACCCGAAAGGCAGTACAAAACGCTTTTGATGAATTTGTTGCCTCCCGTCCAGTTAATTTCTTCAAAAGGACATCAATAAACTGTCACTACGTTGGCAAAGATGCATCGATGGCGTGGATGATTAATTTAATTAAGAAAAAAAATATAGAAAAATCCTAATATTACTCCTGCTGAAATAGAGTACGATTTTAAAATAGTCTACGTAATTCTTTTTTATAAATGGTACATTTATAAAGCTTTCATAGGTAGGTCATTAGCGGTCGTTAGTCGCCACTTTTTAAATACTTACATAGTCCACCTTTTATATTGATTCTTTGACACTTTTCATTCTGAACAAACAGCCATTTGGGGTAAGCTTAGGCTATTATGAATATGGAATGCTTGGTAAAGAATTAGTACGATACATCTTTTTTTCACGACCTTTCTAGTCATTTGTGTTAAAAGGCAACTGTAAAATTATTGATTCCGCGTAATTATATTTTTTCCGTCGAAATATGACCGATTTAACATGTGTATTCTTGTGTTAACGCTACGAATTTAGGTTTATCGTTTGTAATCATTATGATTCAGTTTCCCTTTGTCGCCTCTAACGACATCTCGTGACGTGGTATCACACCGCCACTAAACAGTCAAAAACACGAATAGAAACAGAAGATGAGCAGCAGTATTTTCCTAAAAACAATTCAAAATTATAAAAAAAAAAACTGCGGTTATTAACCCGCCTGACAAGCGTGGCAACTTCACAAAATGTATTAGGAAATCTATGGAGAGGTCTATGTCCGGCAGTGGACTTTTATATGCCCCATTTACATTCAGCCTTGTTGGGCAGGGAAGTGGGCAGGGCAGTATGTAAACAGGCTACTCGCGCTGTCACTGCCGCTGCCGCTGCCTACGTTTAAAAACGTCAAAACGTCGTTTATTAATCTGTCCAGTGTTTTAATGATATTTTATAATGATGAAACAATTATTTTTTTTAGAATTGTTTGAAATGCAGCGGGTAATATAAGATCCTCATGTTAAAAACCACAAATTGCACGTATTAGTTACTTGTACTGAGCAAACATAAGGCTGTCACACCAACAAACTCGACGTCATTCATTGTTGCGAGTTGATCAATAAAGAAGTATGAAGGCTGAGTGTGAACACCCACTCGGGTCGTAATTGCCGCAGAAGTATTTAGGAAAATATTTCCGGCAGCGACAGGAGCAGTAGCAGTGGCTGAGTGTAAATGGGGCAATAGGCTGTGTGTAATATCGTACTCGTAAGAGTAACATTAATTTTTGTAAGAGTTACATTAATTTTTGTAAGAGTTACATTAATTTTTTCGCTGTATGGTGGCTAGGTAAGAAAATCCTCCAAATAGGTTAACTTGGTTTTGAAAATGACAACAAAACGATAATAACCCCTTAAATATTGGTATTTTATGATAGGCAATAAAAACGCTGAAACTAGTGACCGACTAGTGATGGCGAACGTATCGGCAAGGTCAAAGGTGTCTCTCTTTTACTACACTGTCACTAAACTGCTTGGCAAACGGTGAATGCGACAAATCTTTTCATTGATACGGATTTTATCGCTTCTAATTAACTAATTTTTACTTCCCGACGTTTCGGATACTTTATAGCACCCATGGGGGGAAATCTTTTCAACTAATTAGATATTATATATAATATTTATATATATATATATATATATATATATATATATATATAATATTATAAATAGATATTATATACTATGTCTGCTCTGTATATCCTACGAGTATATCTGGATTAGTAACAAAGTGGTAATGATACAATGATAATTGTGATGATTATGTTTCACTGTGAATATTTTTTTACTTTTTTTAATAGAATTTATCATTTTTAGGTAAAGTTGTCATACATCGAGATCTACAACGAAAACATTCGTGACCTGTTTAATCCTAGTGCGGGTCCGCTAGAGTTGCGCGACGAAGGTGGCAACGGGGCTCCTGTAGTAGCTGGTCTTAGCGAAGTAACTAAATTTTTTTAAGTTTTACAAAATTTTTGATATTCTTTTCACACCTTTTATATTAATTGCTGTCGAATTAATAGAAGGAAAGTCGAAGGAAAGTTTATTCCTTGTTTATTTATGCTCGTGTATATAGTATATACATATACTTTATAAAGTGTATTTATATACTTTAAGCTTTATATTTATAACATTTTATGTACGAGGTGCAACAATGTGTTTTCGGTATTAGGGTGATTTGCTAATAATGTGGATAATTAAAAACATTAATTATCTGACGACACTACTAACCTGAGGGTATAAATATGGAATTTCGTTTTGATATCTTTATTACTTGTTATGTAACCTTAAGTCATAGACGACGGGAACGACTGACTTAACAATGTTGAAAAAAATCGAACACCGTGCGATGATTAAATTTCTCACTAAAGAAGGAAAAACTCTTTTTTTACCAAGTCTCCGCTTCTTCAATTTCATCATACAGAAGTAGTCAATTGAATTCAAAAGAGGCAGGGGAAGCATCGAAGATGACCCACACCCGGGTGGGCCAATCACAGCGGCTACAGAAGAAAATGTGGAAATTATTGAAAAACTTGTATTAAAAGATGCAAGAGTTATAAATAAGATGTTATCCAAAATGATTAACCAATCCGTTGGTACAATACACACCATATTGCATGACTATCTCAACCTCACAAAAGTCAGTGCAAAATGGATTACGCGAATGCTTACTGCGCAAAAGCAGGCGCGGGTTGACTGTTGTAGGATGTTTTAGAGCTGTGTTGGGACGACCCAACAAGCGTTTTCGATAGGATAGTTACAGAAAATGAAATGTAGGTTCATCACTATGACCATGACAGTAAACAGATGTCTATGAAATGGCATAAGAAAGGATCAGCCCCCAAGAAGCTCAAAGTCACTCCATCGGCCGGTAAAATCTAAAAAACCATCAACGCAGGCAAATACTCAGCCACTTTATGCCATTTGAGAGAAGCAATACAAGAAAAGAGAAGAGGAAAGCTGACCAGGGGAGTACTGCTGAAATTAACCACCCACTTTATAGTTCAAATCTAGCCACTAGTGACTACTTTTTATTCCCAAACTTACTAAAAGACCTTCGGGGAAAGTGATTTGCTGACGATAATGAGCTCAAGTCCGCTGTAAATTAGCATTTTCTAAGCCAAGACAAATAGTATTTTCTCAAGGGAATAGAAAAATCTTTTTTCACGTACATGTAAATGTATAGATATCATGGGAGACCATATAAATAAAAATATTTCATAATTTTATCTTTTTTCTAACATACCCATACCGAGAATACATTTAATGCCCTCGTATAATATATTAAATATATAAATTTTATATTTTAGAAATTGGTTTCTCGGAACCGGATCAAACGATTTGTATTCAGATAATATTCTACTTTCCAAGTCGATAAAAAGTCAAGTGAACTGCCTCGTACGTCTGGTGATTTTAAGCGTAATGTACATGGTAATGTGGTCATGGATTCGAGTCCCAGGTCGGGTCGAAATCAGTTATTGGGTTTTTCTGTTAAGAAACTCTCAGTAGCAGTCCGAATTCAGTAAGTTGGCGGAGTTTCTCTCTCGTACCTCAGAAAGCACGTAAAGCCGTTGGTCCTGCGGCTTATCTCGCTGCAATCGTGTTGGATTGCCGTCCCATGGGGGTATAAAAGTGAGGGAATAGAGAGTGCACAGTGCTTGCGCTGTGTGCGTTCATACACTATAATCTTAAACTGCACTAGTCTAGTCTAGTAGCAGAGGAGACTGGTTGCTGAAATTCAGTCTGGAAGACATTAATAATTTATCTAGATAGGTGTTATCCCAGCGAAATTTTTTTCTAGCGCCAAGAAAAGCTCTGTCTCTTAGGATAGACTAAGCCATGGCTACAATTGTCACATGAAATACTTTTGATAAGAATAGTTTTATTGATATGTTTGATTGACATTTGTATTATGTATGTTTGGAGGTGCGTGCACTAAGCTCAGCACACGTGGCTGAGCTACTAGCGCGTGGCGACCGCGCACGCACTGCGGAATCCACACACGCAAACCATCACTCTTCGAGGGGACACGCGCTGCTTAGGTACGTATTGAAAATTATAACGGAGTGAGGGAAATCGATGCTTGGAAGAGACTGTTGAACTACTCGTTCATTATATTACAGGGTTACTGGTAACTCGACGTATTCCCGCCAAGGGGTGATAGTTGGGGTTATAACCTATCAAATGAACCATAAAATGCATTATGTAAATGTGGACCAATTTCGAGATATTTAGGTTTAATTATTTTTTTCAAAAATCCCAAAGGTCTGGTATCAAAAATTTCTAAAAAAAAACTTACAGGTGTATTATTTTCATTTTATTATTTTTACTTAATAAAAACCTGGATACTTATTTATCAATACTACAGTGTGCAAAAAGTCTCATCATTTTCGAAGTAACGCTACTAAAAGTACAACTTTTTCCAAACAGAAGATAAGTAATTAAAAATAAAAATGATTTTGTGAAAATAATTGTATGTGATCAATTGTGCAAATCATTGGTCCCAACCCCAACTATCACGCCTTGGCGGGAATACGTCGAGTTACCAGTAACCCAGTATATGACATATAAAAGTATAACCATAGTATATTAAACAAATTTCGTTTTTTCGTCCGAATGGAATTCGTTCGTTTTTCGTCAAAATTGACACATAATTTCACCAACGTTTCTAAGAACACTGCTGAACACAGTTATTTCTGGAATGCGTCAGCTGTCATGCAGATTTGCTGATTTAGCAGGGTGGTGAGAACGGAACCGATACTTTCGCAATGATACTGTACCCATTCATCAAGAATTTGAGATCGGCGTTTTCTTATTTTCTGCTATCAATACAAAAGCCACAAGAGCGTCTTCGATTTTTGATTTGGAGAAAAGGATATAATTTGTGCTTACCTCAAAAAATTAAAGAAAAGTTACAGCCTATATACGTCCCACTGCTAGGCAAAGACCTCCCCTCATTTCTGTGATGGTTTTAGGGCAAGGAAGTCTCCGCCGCGCTGCCCCAATGCTTGTTGGCGAACTTCACATGTCTTCGAAATATTTTTCTTCCTTATTCCTCAGACATGCAAGTTTCCTTACAATGTTTTCCTTCACCGCCGAACACGTGATAAATCAGAATTTAAAATTGAAATCAACAATTTCATTGGTGCTGGCAGGAATCGAACCCGGGTTACTCGCGTTCTGTTATATTTACAGCGAGCGTTAACCATCTGAGCTACCACGACCCTTACCTCGATCATGCATAATTTTCGTTAAAGTCTCTGGTTTATCTCTCACCGAGGGAGATTTTGTCCTAATCATTATGTATGAAAAAGCCGTAGTAGTTCAGGAGTCAAGCCGTTACCGTTACTGTTATAGCCTATTAAAGTGCACTGCTGAACAGAGACCTGTCTTATTTTTTATAGAATAAGGCTGACAAACGAACACATAGTCCACCTGATGGTAAGTGAATGCTGTGGCCCATAGACATCTACATTTATCTTGGATTAGGAATCAAAATGCAGATGCGTTGTCACCCCTGAGGACTGAGAATGCCTCGTTTCCATTAAAAATGCTCCCCGGTTCTCTACACTCACCATACGAAACACAGCAGCATTAAGCTGCTATTTTGCGCTGGTATTCTGTGAGAGCGTGGTCCTACCCCGGTCGAGCCGACCCATTCGTGTTGCAACCACAATATAGCTGCAGCATGGCTCTACCGCGTAAATACCTCATAAGTGTGCTTGCCATAGTTGCCACACTTGGCAAGCGGGTTTTTTTTTGGGGGCGACTCTGCTGCCCATGTGATTTGTTTCACTGTATTGTCTCTTACGTCACAGACGGGATGATATGTGATAATTGATATTCTTACACCGCCAGGCCACAGTAAGGGGGGGGGGGGTAAAGGGTTTAAACTTTAGCCGTAAATTTCACAGTACGCGAGTGGAAATTAATAATTAGAATTTTAAGTGTGCAGTGATGAACGAAAACATCGTGAGAAAATTTGCATGTGTAAAGAGTAACAAATATTACATGTGAAGTAAACAATAAACATGCATTAAAATATTTTTATATTATTAAAATATTCGCCAGCACGCATTGGGGCAGCGTGGCGGACACTTCCTCGCCCTAAAACCCTCTCCGAAATGAGAGGAGGCCTGTGCCCAGCAGTGGGACGTATATAGGCTGTAACTTTACTTTACTTTACAACATGCACTTGGGCTGCACGGCGCACTTTGCAGCCTGTGTCCAGCGGTGAGACGGTATATACTTGTATAAGACCATATTTTTTGTAATCATCTTGTTCAAGCGGATTTATGATTGTTGGCTATATGTCTTGCATCTTTGACACTGATCTTACGCTATAGGTGTAATAGTCGCCTCTTACGACATCCATGGTTACGGATTCTCTTCCCTCGCAAACACATGGCCAGGTTATAACTTAATATGCAGTGCGGATTATCCTCGAGGCAAACTACGCATGTGCCTAGGGGTTAGGTAACAAATGGGTGCGCGCGGATGTTTTTAAACGAAAAAAGTTAAGTACTTACTTGCAAAATTAAAAACTTACTTAAAATTATACTTTCTATAGAGATATAGAGCTTTCAAAGCGCGTCCCGCCTACTTGATTAGGTACTCCTACACTGCAGTCACTCATTCTTCACATTTTTCGTTTACGCCTACCTGTTACGGGTTCTAATTATTTTGCAATTTTACCATATTATAAATTATAGTATGGTTTATTTGCAAAATAAGTACATGTAAATATATGGCCGCCAGAGAGGCGCTGATGAGGAGGTGCGTACTAGTTTAGGACGCTGTCGACATTTAATTCGCCTCTGTATTATATGACTTTATTGCAAGTATTACATAATATTTTTATATTACTATTTCTGGAAAGTCATCGGAGAATGAAGTGTGTAATTTTTTGATCGTATATTTAGGATATCACTTAACTGTTAAGCATGAAACCTACATATATTTCCATCGCAAGTCATAATGGGTGTGTATTGCAGCGTATCAGTGTGTGCTAAAGTGGACGAAGGCATACAGCGTGGACGCTTATTTCTCATCGACCTGGCTGGATCTGAACGGGCCGGGCTGCGCGCGAGAAGGTTAGAGGGAGCTCATATCAATCGATCACTGTTAGCGTTGGGCAATTGCATCATGGCTCTATCCGGTGGAGCCAGGTAACAATATTTTTTTTAAATTATTAAGAGTTAGTGTTAGTTACTAAATTAGACCTGAGTATTTTAACAGTTATAAAATTTTTAAATCATTTTCAACATGATTTTATAAGACAAGTCACGTTCTTAGACAACATATGGAAGGTTGTCCAAATATACTACACCTATCAAATGTCCTATCTTGAAAAAACGAAGGTACTTTTGACAGGAAATGATGACGCACGACGTTATTATAATTATTGACAGCTCAGTGGCGCAGTGGCTTGGCGTGGAGTTGCAGTGCTAAGCTGCTAAGGGCCGCGTGTTCGAATACCGCACGGAAAAGTATTTGTATGGCCTTGTTTTTGTAGTCTGGGTGTTTGTCCTTCTGAAATTTATGTATGTAAACTGCCCCCATGATACAGGAGAAAATCCTAGTGTGGAGTGTGAGTGTCAGCTGGCGCCGTAGGAGAATCTGTTTCTTTCAGAGTTTGACTTGGGCTTTAACTAGTAAAACGGCAAACATACTATTTGTGTGAAGAATCACAACTATAAAGACAAAAACAGAACTCATACGATGGCACCTGGTTGCTATGGTTCATAGACTTAATCTATTTTCGATAAAGAATTAAAATGCCATTTGCATTTGTCCCGCCCAAAGACTAAAGGAATATCCCGTTATCAGTAAATATGGTTTTCAGTTGTCGTTCCTTACTGTACAAAACACTACTATTTTGTGCGAATGTGGTCTATCCACGGTCGAGCCATTCGTGCTATAACCGTAATCCTAAGCAGCATGGCACCCACTGCAGAACATAGGCCTCCCCCATAGATTGTCACAAAGTAGGGTCCCTCAACCACCCGCATCCATCGACTGCCTGCAAGTTTAAGATTACCACAAAGTAGGGTCCCTCAACCACCCGCATCCATCGACTGCCTGCAAGTTTAAGATTACCACAAAGTAGGGTCCCTCAACCACCCGCATCCATCGACTGCCTGCAAGTTTAATCACCCCATCACTCCATCTAGTGTAGAGTCGCCCAACACTGCGCTTGCCAGTACGATTCTGCTACTCGAGAACCTTTCTTCCTTATCGGTTGTCGGTTCTACGTGCTAAATGGCCAATCCGTTCAGCTTACTGAACCGCAGAGCTATATCTGTTACACTTGTATTATCCTTGTTACTGACTTTATCCCGCAGAGTAATAGCTTGACATTACCACATACAGCTTGACTTTCATTTATACGTGGTAGAGCTATATTATGATTGTAGCACGAATGGGTTGGCTCAACCGGGGAAGGATCACGCTCTCACATAATACCAGCGTAAAGTAGCAGCTTAATACTGCTGTGCTTCATATGGTGAGTGTAGATATCCGGAGACCCTTTTTTACTGGAAACGAGGCATTCCTTCTTAGTCCTCAGAGGTGACAACGCATCTGCGTTTTGATATTTAATCAAGAATAAATGTAGATATCTATGGGTACCTATATTATATTAAAAAAGTGTTAAAAAAGGTGGAAGAATTGTATGAACGAATGTTGTGACTGCGCACGTAACCGTGTCGGGGCAGGTACGTGAACTACCGCGACTCGAAGCTGACGCGGCTGCTGCGCGAGGTGCTAGGCGGGCGCTGTCGCACGGTGATGGTGGCGCACGTGGCGCCCGGCGCCGCGCAGCGCGACACCACGCGCTCCACGCTGCACTACGCGCAGCGAGCCGCCACCATCACTAACAGGGTGCGACTTTTTTTATTTTGAAATGAAAAATTTATGATCGTTTTGATTTGAGACTCGACACTAAAAAGAGACAAACATATACACTTATAGGATTAAGAATGTGAGAATCAGATAGAATACAGTATACATGTTCCTATTATCTCGTTCTCGTCTTTGTCTAATATTTATTATCTGTCTTTATGAGCTGATTTTTTAAAGGTGGTTAAAATAACTTTTAACTGTTAAAATAAACAGTCCACAAAGTTAACAAATTTATTAAATATTAACTATATTGAATAAAATTATCATATATAATCCATTCATAACAATCTACGATTTCGTAATTTACCGTTTAAAATAAATCAGTCGTGTTTAGGCCATCTAGCGGTTATTTTACATTATTTTTCGTTCGATAAAATGACTTTACCTATAGAATAAAGTAGATGGCGCTATTACAAAGCAATTTTTTATTAACACATACTAATTCACGTAGAAAAAGAAAAACTAAAGCAAACTCCTAACTGAGAGTGCTTATTTTGGGACGACAAACGTCCACCACACTGCCCTTATGCATTACGGCGGATTTCACCAGTCTTCGATTTTTTTTAATTCCTCAAACGTGCAACTTTCCTCAAGATGTTTTCCTCCACTGCCGAGTACGTGGTAAGTTAGTAAAACGACTCTCTCTTACAGAGGTTTTTGTTTCTCGCTAATAGAGGTTTTGGGAGCTTAAAATGACGGGTCCTGGCTATTACTCTCACTTATAGAGTTTTCTCACTTATCCAGTTCTCACTCACTCAGGTTTGACTGTATATATATATAGGTATAAGTAAATATAATATCTTCTACCTTATCTCCAAAATATCTCCGAGACCTATCGCTAAAACGTACAGCACGACCCTTGCAGGTTTGAAATATATTGTCAACTTTAATAAAAGATCTAAACGCAGCAAAATGCGACTCAATGACATGAAATCGCAATAATAAAATCCCAGACCTTAAAAATAAAAACATCAAGAGCTTAAAATTGCAGAAGAGATACGTGACTAATGCCTAATTCACGATTTGAAGCCAACTTACTATATGATCAACGCTGATATCATGAAAAATGCCAGCATGACGATGGAATTTTTGTTGAAATCGAGCTGTCAGTTCCCCAATGTTAAAACAATCAAAGTTTTAGATTATTAATGTTTGCGTAGCGTACTCTAGTTTGGCTAATTAATACTTATGGAACCTACAATAATTGATAGAATCAGGCGTTACTTTGCGGAAATCCATTACAATAAAGATATTAATTAATTTGCAACCTTCCGCTAACTAAATACAATGACGTGTCTCTTCAATCCAGGTAAGACACATCATTGTATTTAGTTAGCCGATGGTTGCAAATTAATTAATATCTTTATTGGAACCCACAATGTTTTATTTATGGTGATAGGCTGAAGTCGATCCAACGAATAATTTAAAAACAATAAAGATTTCAGTTAAACAAATAAGACGCTGTAATGATTTCTTATATTTACGGGAACACTACACATTTGAATAAAACTATTTATTTTTTTATTTAAATGTGTATTATCGCTACTTTTTTATGTTTCCGACGTTTTGAGCGCTTTACAGCACTCATGGTCACGGGGGGGGGACTAAGGTGTTCAACGTCCAGATGTCGTAGTTAACCGCGGTTACCCACAGATTAGAATTATTAATTGTCTTGCAGTTGTATGCTTGGGTTGGGATTTAATTTTATTAATTATAGAATCCCAAGCAGATGGTAGCGCCTAACCATCTTCACCATTAAAATTAGGATGTTTTTTTGATTTCAATAGCCTCGCCAATCATCCTTGGAAGAAATCGGTGTTCATTAGCGAGGATTTGTGGTCTATCAAATCTGATGTAGTGACGCGGGCGTGTTGAGCACAGACTGTAGACTGCCCGGAGCGTCTGAATTAGTCTGAATTAGAATCTAGATATAGAACATGTGTATTATAATATGTAACCTCTGAATGAGATACGTAATTAAATTAGCTAATATTACTCTTTGATTAAAACTACTTTTACGGATTTTATCGTGTTTAATTTTAATTATTTTTAATTCTCGACGTGGTCACGGGGGACTGAGATGACTGACGTCTTGATGTCATTGTTAAACCCTATATGTACTGTGTCTTGATGCCTTGCAGTGGTATGCTTGGGTTTAGTTTTTAATTTTATTGATTATAGGGTCCCAAGCACTTGCTTGGGACCCTGCAATCAATAATGAAATGGGATGATAGATTCTTAGCGCAACACGGCTTTGGGACTTGGGACACAGCAGCGGAAGGATTAAGATGGAACATATAGACTTAGGGACCTTCAAGAAAGAGCCTATTCCTTTTTAAAAGACCGGCAACGCATCTGCAATCCCCCTGGTGTTGCAGTTGTTCATGGGCGACGGTAATCACTTACCATCAGGTGAGCCGTATGCTCGTTTGCCCCCTTGCCTATAAAAAAAGAGTACCTTGTTTCCAGTTAAAGGGTCTCCGGTTCTCTTCACAGACAATACGAAACACTCTCTCTACCTATGGATACAGGCACTATAATGTATTAAATTACTTAGGGTTTATCTGTCACGTAAGCGTCAAACCACAAGTACCTATCTTAATGTTTATCTTGTAAAACATTACGTGAACATCAAATGAACAAAGTATGTTAAGGTTTTTATTACCATAAAAGATAAGCATTATACATGATTATTTTACGATAACCGGCCAAATTTGCAGAGAGGGTTCAGAATAAGTGATATCGGCGAATGGTAAAGAAAAATTGATTTCAAAATCCCAAATATTTTGTCCTTTTCATATTTTAAATTAAAATGCGAGGTAATGCATTATTTTTAATTTTACATGCACACACACATTCGTAGAGATCGATCGGAACGTTGTTGCCCGTAAATCACATTCATTTTGGGATAGTTTCAAATAAAAGTAGAAGCTTTATTTACTCGTATTTTCAAAAACTACAATAATGTTATATCATTATTTATATATTTGCACTGAACTTTAAGATTTAGCTACCCTTTGAAAAATTAACCTGCATAAAATGATAACACATGGGGGGATCCGTTTGCAGTCAAGTTCTTAATTTATTATTATTTTCAGAAAATCCTACAAAAACTCAAAAATTTCTAACTGAATTTTCTGAAAATGTATTTAAATTTTCTTGTTATCCCTATTTTTATTTATTTTATTTCATTTATAGATTAATATGATCCATATGGCTATTCGTAGGTCGAGCGCGAAGTGGTGGAGACTCCAATGCATCTATCGCAATATCGAACCGTTATAAATGAGTTGCGAGAAGAAATATCTCGTCTGAAGGTTAAAATGAAAGATGATCGTTCAAGGTAAATTAATTTAATTTATAGTAATTTAGTTCTATTGAGTAATAAATACCTTCAGTATTCTACAAAGAATTATCTGCCCTTCTATAAAAATCTTGCCAATCAGAGACGCTAGATTATTATAATATTACTTGCAAGTATTATTACTTATATTTGTATGGAAATATTTACATGTATGTTTAATATTTAATGATCAATTTTAAATTTATTAATTAAATATTTGTTGTAAGCTCGTAAGAAGCGACAGTGTGACATTTATAACAGAAGGTAGGTAGCAGCCTCGATGATAACAACTCAAAAAAAAAAAAAACTACGGTTATCAACCCCTCTGCCAAGCGTGGCAACTATGGCACCCTCCTCCCTGTGAGGCAATCTATAAGAGAGGCCTTCGTTCAGCAGTGGACTGTATAGACTGTAATGTGTGGATGGACAGATATTTTCAGTAACTAAGCTAATAAATTGTTTAATTATTTGAGTTGCGTATTGAGTAATTTATAAATCAATACAACTATAAACAGGTAAAAATAATAAGAAGAAACATTATTTGATAACTAGTAATACAGTTTTTTTTTTAATGGAATAAGGATGATGAACGAGCACACAGTCGAACGAGACACAGAAGTGAATGTTGTGGCCCATAGACATCTATATTTATCCTCGATTAAGAATCAAAACGTAGATGCGTTGTCACCTCTGAGGACGAAGATGGAATGCCTCGTTTTCAGTAAAAAAGGGTCTCCGGATTTCTACACTCACCATACGAAACACAGCAGTATCTAGCTACTATTTTACGATGGTATTCTGTGAGAGCGTGGTCCTTCCCCGGTCGAGGCGACCCATTCGTGCTGCAACCATAATATAGCTGCAGCGTGGCTCTACCACGTATAATAAGTTTAATAAAGTAACGCTAATACTAACACACTCAAATATAAATAGAATCAAATTTTATAAAACTGGAGTTAAAATTTATCAACAGAAGCAAGGAAGACTTAAGCAAAGAAGAAATAAGTAGAGAAGAGTCAATAGAGAATTCTGCCCATCTTAAGTCTCTACGTGAAGCCATTGTATCGACATTCAAGCAGCAAATGCGTCTGCGACGAAGGTTGATGGAGCTGGATAGCCATTTATTGGGGCTGGCACTGGACGCCGAGCGTCAGCACGCTGCCATCTCGCACTGGGAGGCGCGGTTCAACCGACTGTATAAGCCTATCAGTATTGGTACGAGGCTCAGCACACAACAGAGTTATAGGTACCTATATATAAACTTATCTAATAATACCAACAACTCAACTGCGAATGTACGACCTTTTTTGCCGTATGGGAACAATAAGGTGTAACATGTGAACGGAGTAGAAGCCCATGGCATTGATATTTTACTACTTATCTTACTATACTTGTCTTTAAAATGTTTTCTTTTAATTTCAGTACGTTTTACTTTTATTACCCGACTGCCCCAGAAGGAGGGTAATGTTTTTTCAGAGTCATATATATGTATGCATGTATAGTCTATTTATATATTCTATTTTTAATTGTGGAGGTGATATAGGCTATACATGTATAGCATGTGTCATATATTAATATTATATGTATTAATACGTTGTGGTGGGATGATGAGGTACGGGTGGAAGTTGAATCAAAGAAGAAAGCATGGTTAGGTTTACTAGCAACCAAAGCTGGTAATTCTTCTGGTATGAATGATGAGATTGAAAGAAAAAAGGCAGAATTTAGACGTCTAAATAAGAGAGTAAAAGAAGTTGTTGAAAGGTAAAAGAAAGAAAGAACGGATAAGAATGATAGAAGAATATCTGATAATTTCCAGGCTAACATAAAAATGTTCTGGAAACTCGTAAGAACTGCCATGGAGAAATATAAAACAGCCTATAATTAATGCTATAAGAGACGAGAATGGATGTATTCTGAATGATGAAGCTTCGAATTTAAACAGTAATGGAAGGAATACTTTGAAAACGTGTTTATGAGTGAAGAGTCGTCTGAATTAAATGAACTAGAAATTCCGAAAGTAGTGGAAAGGGGTATGGAGATAAGTGTAGATGAAATAATGAAAGCAATGAAAAACATGAAAGCAGGTAAGGCAGCTGGATATGATAGAGTATCACTCGAGATGCTAAGGGCTGGATAGGGAGTGGTGACAGGCCTGCTGTACACCTTGTTTAATTTATGTTGGGAATTAAAACGGGTACCGGATGACTGGTGTAAAGCAGTTATAGTACCAATATATAAAGGAAAAGGGTCACAGTAGGACTGCAAAAACTACCGTGGTATCAGCCTGCTTAGTATTGTGGGTAAACTGTATGCTAAGGTGTTAATTGAAAGAGTTATGAAAGAAACTGATGGAAAAAATTGGGATGTTGCAAGCGGGTTTTAGAAAGGGAATGGGGTGTACAGATCAAGTCTTTTCCATGCGCATGATTGCGGAGAAGTTTTTGGCCAAAAACCAGAAAGTTTTTTGTGCGTTCATGGACTTGGAAAAGGCTTATGACAGAGTGGACAGGAATGTGTTATGGCAAACACTGAACTCATATGGGTTGAGCGCTGGTTTGATACAGGCATTAAGGTCTCTTTATAGGAACTCTAGTGCTTGTGTGAGGATCAATGGGGTCTACTCGGACTGGTTTGGCATCCAAAAAGGTGTCAGACAGGGCTGTGTAGCTTCCCCTTGGCTGTTCAACCTATTTATGGACAGGTGTTTGCAAACTTTGAAAGATGAAGAATGTGGGTTAAGAATGGGCGAGTTAACCGTCAAATGCCTTCTGTATGCCGATGATCAAGTCATATTTGCGTCATCGGCGGCTGAGTTGCAAATGATGGTTACATTAATGAACTGGAATTAAAAGAAAGGGGAATGAAAGTGAACGCAAGTAAGACGAAAGTGGTGATTTTTGAAAGAGAAGAAAGCAAAACGGTATGTGAAATAAGAATAGGAAGGAGAGTTAATTGAGCAAGTGGATGAGTTTGTGTATTTGGGATGTGTATTTAGCAGGGATGGTAGATATGATAGAGATATAGAACGACGAGTAAATGCAAGGGAATAGAGTGAATGGGGCACTACACTCTATTATGAAGAACCAGAATGTGTCAAAAAAGGCACGTATGGTAATTCATAATGCTGTGTTAGTCCCTACTTTAATGTATGGCAGTGAAAGCTGGGTGTAGCGGAAGAAGCACGAAAGTAGAATAAATGCTGTAGAAATGCGGTCTTTAAGGAATATACTAGGCTTGAATTTGAATGACAGGGTGAGAAATTGCGTGATAAGAGATAAATGTGGTTTGCAAGATGATGTTGTGACCAGGATTAAGAAAGGAATGCTTCGGTGGTTTGGTCATGTAGAAAGAATGAATGAGGAAAGAGTGACAAAGCAAATTTATATGGCAGATGTGAATGGCCGAGTCGGAAAGGGACGCCCTAGAAAAAAGTTTATCGACCAAATTGACGATATTTTGAAAATGGACCACGTTAGAAGTACCCTTAACCGACGAGCATGTATGCGTAGATATATGGATGTAAAGGAGGCGAAAGAGGTATGTCAGGATCGTGCCAAATGGAAGTCCGTAGTCTCTGCCTGCCCCTCTGGGTGACAGGCGTGAGTGTTTATATATATTTTATATATAATATTAATATATAGTACATCTGCCAATACAAAAAAGAGAGGGGAAGGTTTTTTTAAAAATAAATTACAACTATATTGGTACCAAATGAGTTGAGAGTTGAGAATGCTTTTAATGAGTTAAGAGTGAGTAATGAGAAAAGTTTTTTAAAGTATCGTTTAGAAAAGACAAGTAGTGTGACGACATCTAAAACATTTCTCTTTTCAGTATTACTTACAAAGTCGAGTTTTTTTAGTGTTTTAACTTTTGAAGTTCTTTGTAATTTAGTGTCCAGAAATTGCTTTTTTAAATGTCACCTAATATCAATTCTTATTAGATCTAGCTGATATTGATATGAATATGGATCACAGTGTAACAGTAAATAAAAAATTTGCTAAATCCGTTTTCTAAACCGTCTTAATCCGTCAACAATTTTTTTTAAATTATATGAAATACTTCAAAACCAATAAAAATCTTTTCTTCTTGTAGTTGGTTAAAAATATGCGTCGCATTCAAATTTTACAATAAAGATTTTTTGGAACATACGTGCCTGTGCTTTAAGCATAGGGATGATTTTTGTCACTACTTTATTTTCACTATGACGGGGTTGGTATCTGGTCAATACTCTTACACAAAATCTAAGTAGTATCTATCAATTCCGAATAGTATAGTTCCACCAATTGATTGCCAAAAGTGTTAACACACTCACTGACTGTATATAGTGCTTCACGGGTTCGACGGTTCGACGGTTTGGTTGTTTCAAAATTTACCCACGCCTACCAAAGTGAAGTGAATGGAAAAAGTGCTTCAAATATTGATTCAGACTAAAAAAAATTTGTACATTTTTTATAGAATATGGTTAACAAACAAGCACACAGTCCACACGATGCAAGTGGGTGATGCTACCCATAGATAACTACATTTTATTAATTATAAATCAAAATACAAATGGGTTATAACCCTTGAGGACTAAGACGGAATGCCTCGTTTCCAGTAGAAGGGGTCTCCGGTTCTCAACACTCACCATGCGAAACACAGCAGCGTTAAGCTGCTATTTTACACTTGTCATTGTGTGGTCCTACCTCGGTCAAGCCGAACCATTTCTGCTACAACCATAAGATAGCTTCAACGCAGCTCTACCACGTAATGGTAGATATTAGTAACCAGTAATATATAAGCCAATGTTAGTACCGAAATTTTATTTTAAATTTTTTATTAAAAATACAAAATTTCGTTTTTAAATATACATATTCCCGCAAAACTGCTTACACAGTTTGTCTGCAGGAACATTTGAGTCTCATTTACATAATACATAATATTAATCTTTTTTTTTTTTTTGTTCTTTTTCCGTTTTTACTTTATTTAAGCACTGAGACTTGCCAATAAATATTTCTTTAATTTATTTTTAAATATGTTTTTTACTGGTTCACGTCGAATGTCCTCAGGAAACTATTGAAAAAGTACGGTAGTCGTTTCTTTAAGTTCTATCCCCAATATAAAAATCCCCATGTCAAAAATTTTTCCTAGCGATCCACGTATTAAGGGCTATAATGAGGCGGGAGAAGTGAAATATGGTGTGTTTTGGAGGGGCGGCACGGGTGGGACGAGTACGTCGTCGGGATCGAGCGCGGCGGCCGGCGAGCGCGCGGAGGCCGAGGTGGCGGTCGAGCAGGCGTGGGCCGAGCTCGCGGCCGTCGAGCGCGAGCAAGAGGCCGCTCGGGCGGAACGCGCGCGCGTCGAGCGGCAGCTTGAGCAAGTGCGACTGCGCGGCGCGCAGCTCGAGCAGGTACAGCTTGCTATTCTTTTCTTTTTTTTAATAGGATAGGGTGACAAACGAGCACACAGTCCACATGATGGTAAGTGATTGCTGTGGCCCATAGACATCCACATCTATCCTCGATTACAAATCAAAATGCAGATGCGTTGTCTCCCTTGAGGACTAAGATGGAATGCCCCGTTTCCAGTAAAATAGGTCTCCGGTTCTCTACACTCACCATACGAAATACAGCAGCATTAAGCTACTATTTCACGCTGGTATTCTGTGAGAGCGTGGTTCTTCCCCGGTCGAGCCGACCCATTCGTGCTACAACTACATATCTAATATAACTGCAGCATGGCTCTACCAGGTATCTTTCTTCATAACCAACTAACGCTGTGCTTCTTGCTAGTTATTCCCAAGTCAAAAATTTACTATCAGTTAGTATTAAATGGCAACGGTACGGGACCGGTACCGGGGAGTAGAACGACTTCCCACAAGATGGGGCGGCGAGCAGGAAGTCGATCGAGGTGGAACAAGACCGTACTTTGTGGGCATTCCTAGAAATAAAATTAGTGGACCTGTGATGTTGATGATAATGACGTTGAAATATTATGTTTTAAATAGGAACGAAAAATATTTTATATTTATGTAAGTATGTGTAAACTTAAATATTCTAGTTGAACAGTCTAGACAATTCTCTACTGGATATAGATTCGAGAATGAACTAAAGACGTTTTTTAGAATAATTTGCACATACCTACACAACCAGTCGCCTGGATGAGAATAGATTGAACACAGAATACTACTATTCTTAAAGCTTAACTCCCGTACTGGTAATGGTACTTCTCATCATGTTTTGAGCAGTGTTTATAAGAAAAATATACGTGCCGTAAAAAGTTCGTTATTTCATCTCATCCCGTGACTCACGTAGGTAAAAGTTGATTATGAACTCTTATTCTTATTTTATATTGTAATAACATGCACTGTACACATGCGCTGTGTACAGTACATGTTATTACAATATAGTGTGTGTCAAAATAACAACTTCCCCGCTGGGAGATCTCTCATATAAAAATACATAACATTTTTAGTATTATTTATACGTGGATACGTGATAGATCCGCGTCGTATTATGTATAGCCGAGAAAGAACCACGCTTAAGCCGGGTTTTCACTATACGAGTACTCTTGGACCGAGTGCGCTCATACGAGCTAGATCGTGTAGGAGTCCACTCTGATCTTGGTTGACACGTTACGAGTTCATCAGAGCCAAAGTGGCATTTAATTTTGTCTCTTTGTAAGCGATGACGACTGATCAACTGCTGCGAGGTATGTTGAGGTTATGAATGATAATTTATATTCAGTTAATTTCACGTTCAACAACACTTCTTCCGCTTCATATAGTTGCACAAACCTCAGAGTAACATTTTCGTTCCACTTCTTTTTAGTTGGCGCCATCTTGTCACCATAAAATTATCCACTCGGTCCGAGAGTACTCGTATAGTGAAAATTCGGCTATGGTAAAGAGAGAGAGATTCTTCTTACTACAACAAGGTTTTCCGTCTTAGTCTACGACAATGCTTGTCCCTTTTTAATGTCTAATGAAAGATAGACCACTTTGTTCTATGTGAACTTTTTCATCACCTTTATTCATTATAAAACTATAGATAACTAATGACAGTTGTTATATTTATCAAGTGTATTTTCGGTTTCTGCCTCGTTTTACTCCATACTCGATGGGATTTTATTCTCATTACAAACTATGCAGTATTGCTAAAGGAATATTCCACATATATATATTCCACAACTATCACACAACGCCATCTAGTCTCAAGCTAAGCAGAGTTTGTGTTATGGGTACTAGACAACTGATAAACATACTTATATATTTCTAAATACATAAATATTATAGATAAATTACACTCAGACACAGAACAAATGATCGAGCTCATCACACAAACATTTGTCCTGGGTTTGAATCGAACCCACGACCTCCGGCATAGCAGTCAGGGTCACTAACCACTAGACCAACAGGCCTGTCAAATCAATTAAAATATATAATAAATGAAAATAGAATGAATAGTTGACTGAGAATAGTGACGACCTGATAAGATATGCAGGAAGTCGATGGATGCAGGTGGCTCAGGACCGTGCTTTGTGGCATTACTTGAGGGAGGCCTATGTTCAGCAGTGGACTTGTGAAGGGCTGTAATGATGATGATGATGATGATAATAAGCACATTTGAAAAGATTGTCGTCAACATAACGACAACGCGCGTCGCACGATGATGACTCGCATTGCAGGAGCTGCCCGCGCACATCGGAAACGGGCCGGAGCGCGAGGTGTTGGCGCTGGTGTGCCGCGTGCACGAGCTGGAGGCGGACAAGCTGGCGCTGCAGGGCGAGCGGGCGGCACGCGCGCACGACCTGCGCCGCCGCGACCTCGCGCTGCAGCGCCGCGACGCGCAGCGCCGCCTCTCCGACGAGATCATAACGCGCCAGCGCCGCGCACTCGAAGGTTCGTCGCCAGCTCACTGTACAACTACCCGCAGCATACTGCGCTGGAAGGTACGTCGCCAGCTCACTGTGCGACTACCCGCAGCACACTGCGCTGGAAGGTACGTCGCCAGCTCACTGTGCGACTGTGCTGGAAGGTGTCGTCAGCTCACTGTGCGACTACCCGCAGCACACTGCGCTGGAAGGTACGTCGCCAGCTCACTGTGCGACTACCTGCAGCACACTGCGCTGGAAGGTACGTCGCCAGCTCACTGTGCGTCTACCCGCAGCATACTGCGCTGGGAGGTACGTCTCAAGTTGCTGCGGAAATCCTTTATATTAAGTTGTTACAAATTAACGGAGCTCAGATTTGCGTAATAAAATAAAATATGAAGTTGAGTATATTAGACTTGCGACCAATAATACTTTTTATTCGGCAACACACCAAATACCGAATATACTACGGGATTCCTGGTCAAATAGCTAATCTAAGTATTTAAGTATTAAGAAAATATCACTTCACGATAATCCACACGAAAATTTATCTTTTCTTGTTTGCCACCATATGGTGGAAAGGAAAGATAAATATCCGTGTTTGTGAATCAGGCAGCAAAATATTTATCCGCGTCAAGAAATGATGTTTATTCAGAGCGTCTTTTCTCTGAAGCTTGGATTATTATTGTGTCTACGATAAGAAAAGTTATGCCTAAAATACAAAAAAATTAGTCTTTAGAAATTTATTTGATAGATTTCTTTTGTTAATTTTTATAATATGCAAGTTAATTATGTACCTATGATTACTTTGATGATTATAAGAAAAATCTTTACATATAATAAATCTGTAGAAAATTCGTGTCTGTATTCTAATATTTCCTGGAAAAAACAAGTTCATGGAACTAGATAAAGGATACTGAAGACAAATTAATGGTTTTTAGAATTTTTGTCTGACTTTCTGTCTGTCTGTGTTACTGTACACAGTGTGTGTGTAATTTACGCAAAACTATTGGACAGATCTCCATGAAATTATGTATGTAGATAGTTAGCAACCTGGAGCAACTTATTAGCTAGCTTTTTATCTGATTACGGAACTTTAAAAAGGAGGGTTAAGTATTTTCGTTTCTTTAGAGGTAAATTATTTATTATATATGACTTTGTTAATTATAAGCGGGACTCTTATTCATAAATAAAGTTAAAAATTAGTTTTAACCGTTGTGTAATAATTTAAAACTACACCGAACTATATTGTACGTTTTCGAAACAGCGCCATGTATCATAAAAAATTAAAAAGTAGTATATTTTGCCTTCAGTTACAAATAAATTATATAATATAAATAACTTGCATTTATATGCTTAAAAACTATATTTATTAAATGTTTTGAAAGTTCCAAGGTTTATTTTAAGTGTTTTCGTTATTTCATTTTATTAGTTATTAAATTAAATAAATAATAGTGACATCTACCAACATTCAGATGGTTTTTAGTTTAATTACTAATCTATAAATGAACTACTAATTACTACATTTCGACAACGAGACGACTCTACAAGTGATCCAACTTTGCTGATTTTGGTACGGAGTAGTATTAATGATGTTCCTCAATTGAAGCTCACGCGAGCGAAACCGCGGATAAAAAGCTGGTATATTATAAAATAAATCAATATTTTCATTTTACTAATTATCACATACTTAAGTATTCGATACTCAACGAATAGTTTGCTATGTATATATTCGATATTCAAATGAATAAGATAAAAGTAGCCGAATAGGTCGAATACCGCACAATAGTTGTTAATATTCGTTGGAAGTGTAATTTATAGTACTATGAGACTATGTTCACTTTGATGGACTGTAATTAATAAATAAATGATGAAATATGACTAGTTTGAAATCATATATAAAGCATAAAAAGAATAATAATGCTCTTACATATTTTAGAGTTGGGCGTAGGAATAGAGCCCGAATTAGGGCAATTGTACGAGTTGTATCAGCAAGAAATTCATGCCTCGACCTACACAGAAAGTAACGATGTCTACACTCCGCCGGATCTTTTGCCGCCTATATCTGCCAGGTGAGTTTAAAATTATATTTGTTTTTATTCAAAAACAGTAAACTAGCGTAGTTAAATACGTGGCAAAGTCATGATGCAGCTATATGTATAATGTTTGTAGCACGAATGGGTCGATTCAAACGGGAAAAGACTCCGCTCTCACAGAATAGCAGCTAATGCGACTGCGTTTAGTATGGTGAGTGTTGAGAACTGGTGACCTTACTGGAAACGAGGCATTCCATCTTAGTCCTCAGGAGTGACAACACATATGATGCATCCACTTTGCTTATTAGATGGACTGTGTGCTCGTTTGTCACCCCTTTTCTATAAGAAAAGGTATTATCGTTTTGAAATCAAAATAACTTCTGTCACAAAGACCCTAATTCAGATTTGATAAAAAGACTTTTTCAATCTTTAAAACATTCGACTAAAGTAAAATATTAAGATAAAAATACTAAAAAATTAAGTTAACAAAGATAAAATTCTTACTTTGCCTGTTGGGTGCGAAGAAGACATAGCTAAGCTATTAAAGCCCGCCGCTGGCCCAATGCTTGTTGGCGGACTTTACGTCTTCGATTTTTTTTTAATTTCTCTGACATGCAAGAGGTTTTCTCATGATGTTTTCCTTCACCGCCGAGCATGTGCTAAATCAGCACTTAAATTTAAACAATTTTATTGGTTCCGGCGGAAATCGAACCTGAATTGGTCGCTTACTGTGAAATTTATAGCGAGCGCTTAGCGCCTGAGGTGTAATAATAAACAACTAAGTTAAAATCACATGCAGACTTGACGACTTCCGAACAAAGACAAGCCGGTTTTCGAAAAGGCTTCAGTACCATAGACCACATATATACCCTGCGGCAGATTGTACAGAAGACCGAAGAGTACAATCTGCCACTTTGCCTGGCGTATGTGTACTATGAGAAAGCCTTTGATTCCGTCGAATTTTGGGCGGTGCTTCGGTCCCTTCAGCGGTGCCAAGTTGACTGTCGGTAGATCGAAGTGCTGAAGTGTTTGTACAGTAGGTCTACGATGGCTATCCGAGTACAGAACTGTAGAAAGGTGTAAGGCAGGCAGGGTGAAGTTATCCCCGAAACTCTTCACCGCTGCATTTGAAGACGTTTTCAAGCTACTGGAGTGGCAAGGATACGCTATTAACATCAATGGCGAGTACATCACTCACCTTCGGTTTGCTGACGATATGGTACTTACGGCAGAATCGCTGGAGGAATTAAGCACTATGCTCAATGACCTCAATGGTGTCTCCCAACATGTACAAAACAAAGATCATGTTTAATGTCCATGACACACCTATGCCGGTAGTTGTTGGGAGCACTATGTTCGAAGTTGTTGACGAGTACGTTTACGTGGGACAAATAGTCCGACTAGGTAAGTCCAACTTCGACCGAGAGGTCAATCGACGGATTCAACTCGGCTGGGCAGCGTTCGGGAAATTACGACACATCTTCTCGTGAGGTATACCTCAATCTCTGAAAACTAGATTGTACAATCTAGTTTTCAGAGATTGAGTGCGTGTTGCCAGTGATGACTTCCGGATCTTAGACGTGGTCCTTCACTGCTGGCCGTATGAGGACGCTTAAGGTCGCTCAGCGAGGTATGGAGAGGGCTATGCTCGGAGTTTCTCTGCGTGATAGACTCAGAAATGAGGATATCCGCAGTAAAACCAGAGTGACCGACATAAACTAACGGATTAGTAAGCTGAAGTGGCAATGGGCCGGCCATATAACTTGAAGAACCGATAACCGATGGGGAAGAAATGTTCTCGAGTGACAGCCTCGTACCGGTAGGCGTAGTGTAGGGTGACCCCCCACTAGATGAAGTGACGACATAGTAAGATATGCAGGAAGTCGATGGATGCAGGTGGCTCAGGACCGTGCTTTGTGGCATTACTTGGGGGAGGCCTATGTTCAGCAGTGGACTTGTGAAAGGCTTTAATCATAAGTTAAAATAATAAGTATTATCCAAACTATGTTCAAACCTGTATTACGCAAACGAATAAATAAATAAATTAAAAAATATTTTACACTTTTCCCGTCTTGCCACAGTCTATAAATTATGTTTTTATTATACTGTGGTCTTGCTAAATAAAGTGTGTTAGTTTTGAGAAGATTAGGACATTGAATTGTAACCGCCATTTATTCGCAAAGGGTAATCTAATCACGTAGCATAATGACCTGCGCCAATGCGATAGACTCTTCAAACAATGCCCACCCAAATGTATGAATTCGGATCTCAATTTCGTTGACGCTATGCATACTAACTGTCAACATGCGTGGCCTTCCTGCAGTTGTGATCAGAAAACAAATAAACATTTAGAAAGAAAAAAAAGTGTTAATCAGTATGGCGCCAACTTGTTCTTTATCCCTTAACCTTCGTACCAATAAAGTGTAGTGTAGGAATGATATTTTCACTTGAATTATATGTGGTATTTATTTTTGGCCAGTATTATTTTTGGGCTTAAGTAAATCCTTCGTGAGTTTTAAAATAATGTATAATCTATACTTATAATTAATATTATAATATTAAGAAGAGAAGTTCGTTATTAATAAACTACATAACCGTTTTTAAAAATTCTTTCACATACTTATAGAAAGCTACATTATCAGTGAGTAACATAACCTATATTTTATTTTTAAAAAGAGATCTTTAAGGAAATTCCAATATAGTAACGTAAGGTATCAGAAAATTACCTATATAGGTAAATCATTACTCGGCGTGCGCTGTGAAAATTATTGATGGTAAAACAACACCAATAATTTTCATAATGTCAATGTAAGTAGGTACTATGCGTTTAAAAACTTATCACTGTCTACAAAAATGTAATATGTCCAGCTATTATAGTTAAATAACAATAACAACTTTTATCTTGAGAAAATTAATGAATATATTGTTAAAAACGGAAGATAAATAATTTCATAATCTAGGTTGTTTGTCTAGACTGTAGATGAAAATCCCTCTTTGAATTATTCGTATGGTATCTTTCGTTTAGAATCACAAATAAAAAGAAGTTAAACGCAAAGCAAATGCCGCAGGCAGTGTGACATATTCCATAGAGTTTCATATCTCTGGTATATAGTATATGATTTATGGTTCCATATATTAAAACTAGCCGTACACACTACGCGCATGCGTTTGCTGTGTTCCAGCCGTAGATGTTGACTAAGGCTAGTTCCATCAAAGGATTCACGACGAATCGACTTTAGTAGTTAGATATCTACTAAAGATAATGCAAGGCCTAGTAGTCGAAATTCCTGGGTTCTAATCACAACAGCATCGGGACTAAAGGTAAAAGCTAAGAAGTGCGCAGGCATTATCACTGACTACCGTAGATCAAACATAGGTCATGTCTAACATGGTTATTCTTTTGCTTTCAATTTTACAATATTTCATTGGTATTAAATTAAATTTCACTTTAAATTTTAACTTTGTATAAAATTGTCAAAGTAACATAAATTTTATTTAATGTGTTTAAAGGATGTCGCGTGGAGACGGCGTCAGTAACTTAAGAGATTTCATCACCTCGTTTCGGTGTAAAATGTCATAACTGGTGACAGGAACAAGCGTCGAAGCTCCTAGACGTCTGGTATTGTGATCGTGACGAATAAGGCAAATCCTCCGAAAAACCCAGGTCTAGCAATGGACTTCTAGGCAATGATGATGAGGAAGATTAAAAGAATACGAGAGAATTTCTTTACAGCACTATTTCGGATATGGGGTGGTCGGGAAGCTCGAGTGGGTCGGCCCGCGGCTCGAGCTCGGGCTCGGGCGGGACGCTGCCCTTCGACGCGCGCCTTCCGCGTCTGGCGCCCACACCGCGACCGCGCACTAAGTACGGGTTAGTGATCTCGATCTTTCAGGATATTAAAAGGAATAAGGAACAAAATATTTCATTCAAAATCACACTAGGCGGTAACGAAAAAAAACTCATCAATCTGCTTATTGGTGTGGCAAATGTGCACATATTTTGATAGACATTGATTGTTCATGATTGACAATTATAATGATATGAAATCCAAGATATCAGACAATACAATCCATTTCTCTCACTCTTTGATTTTTTGGTCGATTTACATAATATATGTCCCATTGGTACCACAAGGTTGTAGAGCTCCTTTTGTTACTAGGTATTTGTCTGTGATTACTAACCTCTGGTCTATTTTTGTCGCCAAGCAATCGTGCATCAACCGCTGAACTTCGGCTCCAAGGACAACAGGCTATGAGGGATATCATCTTAATCTTTTAGAATGACAACCTATCTAGACTTTTTTATTTGTATTTGATTACAGGTACCGATAGGCATCGTTAGTCACTTATGTGAACAGTTAGCTCTTTTGTGTTAGTCGCTAGTTTGAGGGTTTATATTTATTTATATAATATACATATAAACCCTCAAACTAGCGTCGAAGTTGAAAAGCGTTTTATTCTGCAATCGTTATACCACCTACTTAGTGTGGTGATTATAGCACATCTCGATAAAACATTTAGAGATGCCCATGTGCAGTTGAGGACAGTTTCCGAGCAAAGGATGAAGACGACCTAAAATTGTTTTTTTTTTTTTATAGAATAGGGTGACAAACAAGCACACAGTCCACCTGATGCTGGATGAAGTGGATTCTGTGGGCCATAGACATCTACATTTATCATCGATTAAGAATCAAAATGCAAATGCGTTGTCACCCATGAGGACTGAGATGGAATATCTCGTTTCCAGTAAAAAAGGTTCTCAAGTTCTCTACACTCACCAGAATGGAGCTGCTATTTTACATTGGTATTCTGTGAGAATGTGGTCCTACTTCGTTCGAGCCGAGCCCTTTCATGCTACAACTATTATAGTTGCAGTGTGACTCTACCCCGTAAAATTATTTAATATTATTATTATTATAAAATTATTATTTTTATAAAACTATTTATTATTAATTATTTCAGTAAAGCAAGCGCATCAACTCTGAAACGATATGCGAGTGATGACAGTTTAGTAATTGCGGCACCTCGTCGGAGCGACGAGGCATCTTGAACAAAATGTCTACGGAATATGGGATATAACTAATGTTGTTAATTGTTTACGGTATTGCTTGCATGAAGCGACATCGCTGTAATGAATAAAAGAAAGATTTATAGGTACAAATTAATGCCAGCAAAGGTTACACATTGTTACGGAATAATTTAAATACATTTTGACAAATAACGTAGTATAAAAATTATAGTACCCGGATGACCGGTCTTTTTTTGAACTTAGTTTTATAAATTACATACTGATGAAACATAAATAATATTTTTTATTCTTATTGACAGAATAGAAAAAACTGAACTGGTTATTGGCATAAAAAATTATTAAAATTTTCGTATTTTTAAAAAATACTTAAAAAAGGGTTTGAAATAATAGATTTTATCACAAAAGAAGGGAACTTGAAAAAAAAGGAAAAAAGCCGGATCAGAGACAGGACGCGAATCACGGAACTTCGATATCACGCCCAACTGACATCCCACCTGAGCTATAACGATCCTTGGTGATCTGTCGAAATTTACCTTCTTATATTGTAGCAGTTTTTATTGCCTGAAAACACGGACAAAAGGACATTTTCTAAAAATAAATCCTAGCTAGATCGATTTATTGCCCCCGAAATTCTATGGACACTAAATTTTATGAAAATCGTTGGAGTCGTTACCGAGATTCCGATTATATATCATCATCATCATCATTACAGCCCTTCACAAGTCCACTGCTGAACATAGGCCTGCCCCAAGTAATGCCACAAAGAACGGTCCTGACCCACCTGCATCCATCGACTTCCTGCATATCTTACCAGGTCGTCACTCCATCTAGTGGGGGGTCGCCCTACACTATGCCTACCGGTACGAGGCTGCCACTCGAGAACCTTTCTTCCCCATCGGTTATCGGTTCTTCGAGCTATATGGCCGGCCCATTGCCACTTCAGCTTACTAATCCGTTGGGCTATGTCGGTCAATCTGGTTTTACTGCGGATATCCTCATTTCTGAGTCTATCACGCAAAGAAACTCCGAGCATAGCCCTCTCCATAGCTCGCTGAGCGACCTTGAGCGTCCTCATACGGCCAGCAGTGAAGGACCACGTCTCAGATCCGTAAGTCATCACTGGCAACACGCACTGGTTGTACAATCTAGTTTTTAGAGATTGAGGTATACCTGACGAGAAGATATGTCGTAATTTCCCGAATGCTGCCCAGCCGAGTTGAATCCGTCGATTGACCTCTCGGTCGAAGTTGGACTTACCTAGTCGGACTATTTGTCCCACGTAAACGTACTCGTCAACAACTTCGAGCATAGTGCTCCCAACAACTACCGGCATAGGTGTGACATGGACATTAAACATGATCTTTGTTTTGTCCATGTTCATCTTAAGACCTATCCGTTGGGAGGCACTATTGAGATCATTGAGCATAGTGCTTAAGTCCTCCAGCGTTTCTTTCTACCATAAGGACTATATCGTCGGCAAATCGCATTTTATATATATATATATATATATATACAAGAATTGCTCGTTTAAAGGTATAGGATAAAAAATTGATTTGATTAAACCGATTGAATTTTGGTAATTTTGAGATCGACTAATTTTAATATACTACCTGTTTACCTTTACTCGGGTTGACTTTACCAACATCATTAGTGTAACATGCCGAAATTCGCAAAATGGTGCACTTTTACGATCATCTCATTATGTCAGCATGTCTGTTTGTCTAACACAAGCGTTCTTCTTAGAGACTTTTTCACGTAATTGATTTTGGACATATTTATGCAGTTACCCATACAAACGTTAACTTGTGTAAAATCGAATTAATTTTCGAGCTTAAATTATATTATTTTAATTTCAAAAGTATTCTGTCTTTATTTTGTGTTTCATAATATTTCAGTTTATTCCGAAAAAAAAAACTAATCACATTTGATTTTATAGATTCCTTATAAAAGTGTGTTTCTTCATGAGTCCGTTAGGGTATACCTACTCATGTGAAATATGAAATCAATCTAAAAATCTAGATATCTCTAAAACTATAATTGCTAGATTAAAAAACTTTTATGTGTTCAATAATATCGTTAAAAGCTGCTACAAACGTCTAGCACAGCCCTTTCGTTATTGGAAGTGTTTTGTGACAATAAAAGTGTCCGTCGCGCTACTTGAGTGCATGTTAGCAGTTTTTCAGTCCTCAATATATTATTAACTTCTCAGACATTCAGATTTCTGCAGAATGTTCTTCACTTCTGCCTACCGTACTGGTTGCTGAACACAGCCTAATTTTTTCTAATTGTTTTTTTTCAAATTTGTAAATATTTGTATCAATTTGTAAGCAACACTCCAACAATTAAGATAATAATAAAAAACGGTCGTTATCTGCGCAGAACAGTGCTAGCATAGGTGCACTCTCCATTCCCTTACTGCGTCACTCTCATAATGCGATGGGACGTAAATCTGACACGACTAATCAGGCGCAGGGCCAACGGCTTTACGTGCTTCCCAAGGCTAAAGGGTGTCCTACTTCCTGACTTCAGGCTGAAAAACACAATAACTGATTTTTTTGGCGGACATGTGATTCGAACCCCGGACCTCACGAGCAGCAGTCGCATTTATAACCACTAGGCCAACGAGGCAGTCAAGTCAAGGTGAGTAAATACTCACAGAAAATTATTACTCCTAGGCCCGCACTTTCCAACATTCCCGTTTTTTGCGCCATACAAATACTTGTTCTTTGCGGGATTCGAACCCGCGGCCCTAAGCGCCTTAATTCAATGCTAAGATACTGCGTCATGGGGCTTTAATGAACGATTTCATATTTATAATTTTAATAATTTTGGTGTTTCATAATATAATTATATGTTACAGTTTCCTAGTTTGAAATACGAATACATAATAGTCTACTCGATCTTTCACAATACTCCACTAGTGCAGGATTCCGTTAATAATTAATTTGCACTCATGAATACGTAAAATTATTTTACTAAGTACAACCATTTATATTGTGCTACAACGTTTAAAAGTTGCCAGTATTTTGGAGCTGTATAAAACCTTGTTTTAACATTTTATTACTTTACTCGTATAATACGATTTTAAATCGTTTATTATTTAGGATTTCTTACAAGTCAATCGGTATTTTTTGTCGGATTAAAAAGTAGAAAACTTCTCTTTTGTTTTATTTTCATATTCTTATCTACACCCTACCTACATTGTCATCCGATTTTGGGCTATTTTCAAAATTTCAAGTCTCAAGAAGTTAGTTTAAAATCTAAAATCGATTACTAAAATCAACCTGAACGGAAATCCACGGAAGCGAGTTTCTACAAATTGTGGTAAAACAAATTTGTCGTAGTTTTCGCATAAGATTGCAAAATCATAAAAAAAACAATAATTGTGCAGGAAACTTTTAGTGAATGATAATAACTGAGACAAAGGAAACGTGGGGTACACTAAACTGACCCGTGGTAAACAGTGGATCAACACGTATAATTCGTAGTCTGTTAACTATGCACACATAAAACATAGATGAATCGTGTCATGTAACCCTTTCGCGTCCTTCACACCAGTAGTAGTCACGCTGTTACTATGGAGCGTTAAAGCCATCGCGCTATCCGTAATTACCAAATAATTTTTTCCTGTGTTTATTGAATGTTTTTCACTCGAAACTATAATTGTTTAAATATTATTCTGTTACGTATAAAATAACCTAAAAAGCTCTCTTAATGAAGACTAACTTTACTGGTCTTTGACTTTACGGTACAGGTCTCTTAATTACAGAAATACGTTAGATTTTAAAATATGGCGTGTCAGGCAACAATAAACCGTTGCTTGACGGGGCATAGTGTACTGCGATCTACTGTATTATGTTGATTGTTTGATACAGTATAAGTCATCAATTTTGTGATTTTAAGACAATAATTAGCAAACAGTGATATACGTTTATTAAATACAGAAAGATTATTGTATAATAATGTTGATTACAACTATTAATTTAATTAACAACTTTTTCATATAACACATTACCTACGTCATTGCATTGTTGCCCAGGTGAAATATCATGGTAATTTAATGCGTTGGTTCACTGTGCCCCGCTACGATCCACATTACCCGACAAGGGATCAAGTGTACCCCATATGTGGGGTACAGTGGTGGATCAATTCAGACCTTAAAAAGATTGATCCAATAAAAACTTTTGGTAATTTAGCTATACTTTATAATCAACATCTTTGATACAAATCAAGCTGTAAAAAAATTAATTTATATTGCTTTCTTTAGTGTTTAAAACAGTTATTCACTGTACCCCACTTTTCACTATAGTCCAATGTTGATCATTTCAACTTCAACACATATTATAATAGAGTTTGTTTAATTCCTGGAAACGTGACAAGATAGTTTCTTTATCATATACGGAAAATATTATGTATAGATACATATATGTATGTATTTTTATCGAATAAATGTGTTTAATGGTTACATAGAAACGTTTTATTGATATATTTATTATTGTCAATATATTTTAGAAATTGTTTATATATTATTATAACATAGGTTTCTTTACGAAGATGGGTGGTTCGATCCAAATCCATACAACCACTTCGAACCAAAATGTCAAACTGGTCGGAATATAAAAAGTCTAGCATTAGCAATGTCAAGTTATCGGTTCTGCATTATAGCATTACCAATCCGCCGGTGATTTCAAAAACGTATGCCTGCTAAAGCTGAACACACATTTTTCAGCACCGAACGCGCCGTACGCGCCGTACGAGCCACATTTTAGGATTCGTTGTAGGAAATCGTATGAAAACTCGTACTTTACAATTGCACCTTACGCGCCGCATTTTATAAAATGCGGTAGGTATCCGAATATTGAAGGACGAATGCTGATGAAGTCATATAATACGGCGCGTTCAGTGCGTGCTGATACAGTGTTGTCTAATATTGCCACTGAGAGGATTTTCTACTTAACTGGTGGTTTCGACTTTCGTTTCGAAATATATTTTACTTCATTTCAGGAGCACATAGCTTTACT